ACCTCACGTGACCAGCTGGGTCCGAATAGCTATTTGCTACTATAGGTACCTGGATACCTATAACCACTCCGTTTTACAATATTCCACTTTTGGGCCCGGGGCCCTAAATTCTCGTTTTTTTTTCTTTTGAGTTATATATAATTTCCGTAAGTGTGCGTTCGATACCATTCATCCGATGGCGATAAAACTTTGCTAAGTTGTTGTGAGCAGGCCCGCAAATGTTTCAGAAATAGGTCAACCATTTTGAAATATTCCTTTTGGGGCTGGGGGTCCCAAATTATCATTTCTTATATGAGCTCTACAAATATAATATCAAACAGAGCTATTGAATGGGTGTATGGAATGGAATCAAGTACAAGCAACATTTCAGTTTGTGTGTGACATAATAAGTAGGTTTCTGAATTAGTACAACCATTTTAAAAATTTGCGTTTCTGGCCGGGGGCCCAATTTTGTTTTAATTTTGTATGTGAGTTATATAAATATGATTTTAAACAGAGCTGCTGCATGGGTGACTCAATCGCTACAAGTCTGTGTGGACTAAATCTTTAAAATCCATGTTTCTCACATGCACAGTTGTATGTTGCCTTCTCATGTGGACTGTTGTATGTTGCCTTCTCATGTGGACTGTTGTATGTTGCCTTCTCATGTGGACTGTTGTATGTTGCCTTCTCACGTGGACTGCTGTATGTTGCCTTCTCACGTGGACTGCTGTATGTTGCCTTCTCATGTGGACTGTTGTATGTTGCCTTCTCACGTGGACTGTTGTATGTTGCCTTCTCATGTGGACTGTTGTATGTTGCCTTCTCACGTGGACTGTTATATGTTGCCTTCTCATGTGGACTGTTGTATGTTGCCTTCTCATGTGGACTGTTGTATGTTGCCTTCTCATGTGGACTGTTGTATGTTGCCTTCTCATGTGGACTGTTGTATGATGCCTTCTCATGTGGGCTGCTGTATGATGCCTTCTCACGTGGACTGCTGTATGATGCCTTCTCATGTGGACTGTTGTATGTTGCCTGCTCACCGTCGAAAAACCTTACAATGTATTTGTGTACGTACCAGACGGAAAAAAAACAAAACAAAATTATATTTAAAATTACTTCGAAAACGTACACGAAATACAAACACCTTTTTTTTCTTTCAGTGGCACCGCAACGCATGCCGGGTTCTCAATAGTACTGTATAGTAAAACAAAATAATGTGTTCAAAAAGAAATTTGATGCAAAATTTTAACTTGTGAATTGAAAAAAAAAAGATTCGACCGAATTTCTGTTCGCTCAAATTTCCGTCGATCGATTTTCCGTCGATGAAATTTCTTTCAAGCAAATTTCCAGTAACCTAATGCTATATTTAAATATGATTAACCAAGGCCATATTATTAAGCTATAATACTATATTATATAATATACTAATTATAATGCTATATATACTATATTATATTATTTTAAAAAATAATTTAGGCCGTACCCTAATATTAAACAATAACAGATAGCTCAATGAATCTAGTGATATTAAATACATAAATAATAAATAAATATATTATTTACTATTATTTCTATTAGGCATGGGCGCCCGCAGAAAACTTTCTCCGGGGGGGGGGGGGGAAAAAAATTTCCAGGGGGGGGGGCAAAATTTTTTTAGTAATGTTTTAATGTAGTTTTAATTTACTGTAGCGTATTTGTATGGTGAACGAACGGACAGGACATCAGCTTAGTTACTTTCTCTTTATTTTCTCTTTCCTTTAATAAATTTTGTGTCTATTTTTGTCTAAAAATTGTTTTATCCAATCAATCCAGGTGGGGGGGGGGGGCAAGTGCCCCCCTCCCCCCTGCTGGCGCCCATGCTATTAGGCGCATTTTTTGTTATTCCCCTAATTAAATAATTTATTTTCATAATTTTATAATTGACGTAGTCACATAAATCATACGGCATACATTATATTTATACTATAAATATTATATACCAGCTAATTAGCGAATTTCTACTTCAGTGCCCATAATTATTGCAGTATATTAATATTTCGATCACTCAAAGTGATTGACTATTAAGGCGTTCTGTGTTGACAGCAATGAGTGACTGACTATTAAGGCGTTCTGTGTTGTAGAAAAACGTTTCTTTTTACTGACTTCATTCGCACAAAATGCTTCTCAATGTGCTGACTCCAAAGACATCCCACAGGACATTGCTTCTCATCATGCTGACGCCACAGATATCACACAAGACATTGTTTTTATGGTGCTGACTCCACAGAAATCACACATGACATTGCTTCTCATGATGCTGACTCCAATGACATCCCAAAAGACATTGCTTCTCGTGGTGCTGACTCCAAAGACATCCCAAAAAGACATTGCTTCTCGTGGTGCTGACGCCACAGACATCACACAAGACATTGCTTTTATGGTGCTGACTCCACAGACATCACACATGACATTGCTTCTCATGATGCTGACTCCAATGACATCCCAAAAAGACATTGCTTCTCGTGGTGCTGACTCCAAAGACATCCCACAAGACATTGGTTCTCATCATGCTGACGCCACAGACATCACACAAGACATTGGTTCTCATTGTGCTGACGCCACAGACATCACACATGACATTGCTTCTCATGATGCTGACTCCAATGACATCCCAAAAAGACATTGCTTCTCGTGGTGCTGACTCCAAAGACATCCCACAAGACATTGGTTCTCATCATGCTGACGAGTGCTGACGCCACAGACATCACACAAGACATTGCTTTTATGGTGCTGACTCCACAGACATCACACATGACATTGCTTCTCATGATGCTGACTCCAATGACATCCCAAAAAGACATTGCTTCTCGTGGTGCTGACTCCAAAGACATCCCACAAGACATTGGTTCTCATCATGCTGACGCCACAGACATCACACAAGACATTGGTTCTCATTGTGCTGACGCCACAGACATCACACAAGACATTGCTTTTATGGTGCTGACTCCACAGACATCACACAAGACATTGCTTCTCATGATGCTGACTCCAATGACATCCCAAAAGACATTACTCGTGCTAAATTTGCAGTAACAATCGAATGAGACCTGCCTTGTACACATGAAACGGCCTTCCGTAAAAAACTATAGCTCTATTCAAACTGAAAATGTTAGTCGACACGAGTTATACTAATTTACTAACCCGTCATAGTTATACTAATTTACTAACCCGTCAGAGTCATACTAATTTACTAGGCCGTCAGAGTTATACTAATTTACCAGCTTGTCAGAGTTATACTAATTTACCAGCCCGTCAGAGTTATACTAATTTACTAGCCTGTCAGAGTTATACTAATTTACCAGCTTGTCCGAGTTATACTAATTTACCAGCCAGTCAGAGTTATACTAATTTACCAGCCCGTCAGAGTTATACTAATTTACCAGCCAGTCAGAGTTATACTAATTTACGAGCCAGTCAGAGTTATACTAATTTACCAGCCAGTCAGAGTTATACTAATTTACCAGCCAGTCAGAGTTATACTAATTTACGAGCCAGTCAGAGTTATACTAATTTACCAGCCAGTCAGAGTTATACTAATTAACCAGCCAGTCAGAGTTATACTAATTTACCAGCCAGTCAGAGTTATACTAATTTACGAGCCAGTCAGGGGTAGAAGATAAAGCTGATGCTCAAAATGATTATCTGGTAGATTATTCGAGAATTTTCATTTGATCCCATCAAAGATCGGATTAAAACTTTCTTTAATGATTAATGCGGCGACAGGTGCTGGGGGGGGGGGGCCGAGTGGTTTGAACTGAGGCAATCCAAAAATCTGGTTGACTGGAATTCACTCCCTGCAAAAGCCTAGACCAGCAATAACACCCCATGCATCCCGGGTGGATGGGACTCGTTAACTTACGAGATGGCAAACTGAATTCAAACCCGGAGATGGAGTCCGGAAGACGAATAACATAGACCCAATGGAAAGTCAATGGAAATATTATTTATTATTGGTGATTGTAATCGGGAACGAATGAGCATGAATAATTAAGTTAANAAAATGATTATCGTGTAGATTATTCGAGAATTTTCATTTGATCCCATCAAAGATCGGATTAAAACTTTCTTTAATGATTAATGCGGGGACAGGTGCTGGGGGGGGGGGCCGAGTGGTTTGAACTGAGGCAATCCAAAAATCTGGTTGACTGGAATTCACTCCCTGTCAAAGCCTAGACCAGCAATAACACCCCATGCATCCCGGGTGGATGGGACTCGTTAACTTACGAGATGGCAAACTGAATTCAAACCCGGAGATGGAGTCCGGAAGACGAATAACATAGACCCAATGGAAAGTCAATGGAAATATTATTTATTATTGGTGATTGTAATCGGGAACGAATGAGCATGAATAATTAAGTTAAAATTGTGGTGATACACAACTATTGAATGATATATCCCGCCCCTCCCCCCTATTGTAGGACGTAGTCTAATTTTGGACACATACCTACTCAGGGGTGGACTGGAGAGTTCAAGCGGCCCGCGAAAAAAACAAAAAGTGGCCTCATGATATTAGTTATTAATTATAATTATATCACCGGTCCTGGCGGCCCATCGGGAATCTTCCCGGCGGCCCAGTCCACCCCTGTACCTACTATTGAAACACTCTGTAACCCCCTTCATTCAATGCAAATGGCAAAAGATGATGTACGTTTTTTTTAAAAACTCTCCTCTGAGAAAATTGTGTGACATTTCAATTGGTGCAGAATGTACACTGTTAGGATACTTTTCAACCAATTCACATGGCAACCTGTCAAATCTCTCAGCCATCACACCAAAAGCTCTTTCTCTCAACCCGATGAAATACATGCACAGTCAAAAACTAACATACCAACCCACGATACAGACTTACCATCACAACAATACAGATTTACCATCACACAATACAGACTTACCATCACACAATACAGTCTGCAACAGGTTATGGGATGGTCTTGACATTGAAATGAGTGCAACTCAATACAGGCAGTTTAAAAAAAATGCAGCACATTTTTATTATGAAAATAAAAATAAAGAATTAATCATTTACATATAAACTTAAGAGCAGGTTCAACATACAAATTGAAATTTGGGATTTTGACCAATTTTTTTAAAATTTAAAAAAAAAATCAGTTGTTAAAAAAATCATGTCAGTTAATGGTATCAATAAAAATCAATACCAGTAACATAAGTCATCTTTAAAAATCATGAGTGCTTTCTTGCCTTAACGATGGCCCAAATCTTATAACTGGAATAATAATTTATATGAGAAATGCTAAATTCTTTTATTCCAAATGAACATAAAATAATAGTTGCAATTACCACTAAGGACTGCCTCATAAAACCTATCCAACAGACAAAAAATACTCAGTAAGTGTAAACAATTGTTAATTAAAAAGTACATATCAAGGAATATCACTATTTCATAGCACAAACACAAAATCTCATATGTACGATTATATCTAACATTAAAGTTCTCTTGCTTCCCGATTTTTTAAAATCATTCAATACATTCTAGCCTCCAATTTGCACCCATCAGACATTGATCAGACAGCTAGCTGTTGATTCAGTGAGCAGCTCACACATGACTTCATGTAACATCAACCACACACATTAATGCCCTGGTGTGATCTCATGTCATTTATTTATGTGATCACAGCCCCCCTGATGGCCAACCTTTCAGAGACACATGCACACCCCCCTGATGGCCAACCTTTCAGAGACCAAGCGCACAGCCCCCTGATGGCCAACCTTTCAGAGACCAAGCGCACACCACCCTGATGGCCAACCTATCACAGCCCCCCTGCTGGCCAACCTTTCAGAGACACATGCACACCCCCCTGATGGCCAACCTTTCAGAGACCAAGCGCACAGCCCCCTGATGGCCAACCTTTCAGAGACCAAGCGCACAGCCCCCTGATGGCCAACCTTTCAGAGACCAAGCGCACAGCCCCCTGATGGCCAACTTCTCAGAGACCAAGTGCACACAATGCAACCCAAAACCCACTTATCTATCTCAAAGTTCCTACCCTGCTATCAAACCTGAATGCCAAGGTTCCAGTTCAGATGCTGGGGTGACTTGGCTCCTGTGCCAACAGTGGGCTGTGAGTGCCTGTGTGGCATGGGTGTCATGGTGGCCCTGATGCATTAGTTAACTATGGTAAACATGTTGTAATGGACCAGATACAACTATTAACTAAATGTGTACTGCCACAATTCCTTCTTTGTAGCTGACATAAGCCGTGCCACGTCTAACCGTAAGAAAGGTTCCCCCCACCACTGTATCAGAATAAGTACACAGAGGTGGGCAACACTTGGGAATTAGGTATCCGATGGTGGAAATGAAAACTTAAAGCTGACCACCATTCGAAAAAAAAAAATTGACATTTTCAAACTTATTATAAAAAAAATTTATGTTTAAAAATTATCAGCAAAAAATTTGTTTAAAGATAAAATACAATGTGAAGAGTTTATTATCAATGACAAATCAACATGGATCATCAGCAGACCTGTTTACTCTTACGATTTTGGCGTACAATGTACGATTTTGAGGTGTATAGATACCTTAATATACTGTATGTTTATTTTTATAAAAATATAAATATAACGTATTGAACAATTTTGTGATGATATTGTTCGATTTAAAGAGTTTGAAGGTAAACAGGTCTGCATCAGGCATTACTGAGAACATAATATAGATGCTATTCCTTTATTTCTTCAATGCTAACCGGCACTGGTAGAATTACTGAGAACATCCTATAGCTAATATTTCCTTACTTCTTCTGCAGACCTGTTTACCCTCAAACTCTAAAACTCGTACAATATCACAAAATTGTTTACTACATTATATTAATTGTAAAAAAATAAACATACAGTATGTATAAATGTATAAACCTCAAAATCGTACAATGTACGCCAAAATCGTAAGAGTAAACAGGTCTGCTTCTGTGGTACTGGCAGTGCTAGAATCACTGAGAACATGCTATATATATTATTCCTTATTCCTTCTAAGCTAAATGGCAGTGATAGAATTACTGAGAAAATACTACAGATATTTCTGTAGTAGTTATACTTATTTCTTCTATGTATATTGGCAGAGCTAGAATTACTGAGAACAGTCACATTACTTCTTCCCTATAACAACATGTTTTTATCTACTTTAAATATACTATAAAGGATAGACGGCAGTTATTACTCAACATTAATTTATTTCCTAGAATATATTTTTATATTTCTTATTGTGGCTTCTGTTTGCTGACGAAGACTTTTAACACAGACTATTTCGCCCTCTAACTTTGAGTCCATTTAACATCTCTTTGTGCTCCTCACACGTGTACATGTCACAAACTAGGAAACATCGGATCCTCCGGGACAACTCACAAGGTTTAGTAAGTCAAGGCCAACTATTTCTGCCTCTTGTATATCTTGTTCACAAAGTCATGGAAGATGGATTTGGGCACCCCGAGGTCCAATGAATCTATTAAACCTGTTATCTTGGCGTAGCTTTCCTCCTCAAATTGCTGGTAAATGCCTTCAATGCCCAGCTCTTTGTACACGCTTTTGACCTTCTCTATGCACTCATCATTCCATTTGCCATAATTGGCCTGGGGAGACAGAATTACAACCACATTGTATGCATTGCAATAAAGAAGTACAGTTTATAACATGAAATGGTGAACAGGGGAGCAGGGAGAAGAGCTTTATACTGTATTCACAGTAGGTACTGGTTAATTGCCTGTGTAGTGTTCAGCTAACCAATCTGTTCACCAGCTTTTGTTGTTCAGGAGAGCACAACATTTTGAAAATACCCACCAAAGTGATAAAACTCATGCCTATATAAATATCCTTTGGATAGTCTCCCCTCAATAAAAGCCAGTACATTTGTTTAACTTCCTCATATTTTTTTTTTTGTTAATTGTCCAGGAATATTGTTCACTATACATAGAAAAATACTACTCCAAGTAAGCATTAGAGAACTGACAAATATTGGAGATAATTTTTTTTTAAAGCTTCATAAGCAATGTCCTGGCCCAAGTTCCTCATAAAACTTGGTAATAATGACTTTTTAAAACTCTGAAATACTTATTTTTATTAAAAACTTTCAGAAACTGAAATCACTTCCTTCTTTTGCCTATCATGCTTGCTGCTCAAATAAAATATTAAATTGATGTCTCTACATTGTTAAGGGTGGAGACAGTTGACTCAACCCAAGAAAACAAACGTATCTAATCATTATTATTTATCCTTATATCAGACAAGAAATACACTATTTCTTAAAGCAATTCCATCCGCCGCGACCGAAAGTCCCACCTACAAACCCACCAGTGGATCTCATCCCACAATATGAAGTGACCAAGTGACAGATGCTAGGTGAATAGTTTATTTTTTAGTTCAAACAATGCCCCCCCCCCCTCCCCCAACCCAGTGAGCTTTTAAAAAGTTTTTATTTTACTTTAAATTCAATATTTTTTCATTCATTGTTTTGTTTCATTGTGTGATAACTTTTAAATGATCAAACATGTGTCATTTATATCATGTATAACATCTGTACACCTATACAACATCAATCAATAAGTCCTTGGTCCATTTTCTATGCATTTCAATAGTGCTAACCATAATGACATTGCAGTTACTGGTATAGTGTATGCAAGTAATACACAGGATGAAATGTATATGGGAAAAAAAATTTAATAACACGATTTCCTACGTTGACTCCATACGGTATAAACCAAATTCACAATTTTACATAGCTGCATTGTCTTTTTTCCTGTTTGGTTTTTAAATTTTAATTCCACCCACTTTCTTTCCATTCTACTCAGCTTTGTTTTTTGGTAAGATTCATGTATTATTTAGGTAAGATACATGTATTATATATATATATATATATATATAATATATATATATATATATATATATTATGCAAATTTAATTGAATGTTTTTGTTTAATGCTGCAATGATTAAGGCATTTGCCGAAAATTTACACTTGCATCTGTATAATTATATTAAAGCTGATCCTATAGTTTTATTTACACAAATTGTGTCTCATTAATTAAATTAAATTTCATACTATTTGATTTACAACACCCAGCAGTAATGACAGACACATTCCAGCATGGCCCAGACACCCACCCAATCTTTTCTTGAAAAAGATTAAATTTTAAAATCAACCAGGTCAGCCCATACCTCCAAATCTTTTCTCTGCTGTTCACTGGCCACTTCCAAGGCCTTGACAATAAGCCAGCCACATTTATTGTCTTGGATGTCTGTTCCTATCTTACCCAGAATTTCAGAGGAGCTGTAGCAGTCCAAGTAATCATCCTGCAAACAGAGGTGGCATTATGTATAGAGATATCCTGCGGGCAAGGTTAGTAGTTAAATATTTCAACTACTTTCTGTCAAGCTTGAGAGCTAAAATCTCTTTTTCTCTGACTGTTTTGTACTGTTGTAAAGTAGTAGTTAAATATTTCAACTACTTTCTGTCAAGCTTGAGAGCTAAAATCTCTTTTTCTCTGACTGTTTTGTACTGTTGTAAAGTAGTAGTTAAATATTTCAACTACTTTCTGTCAAGCTTGAGAGCTAAAATCTCTTTTTCTCTGACTGTTTTGTACTGTTGTAAAGCAAGGAGAAAGGCTTTCACTCCGAACGCTCTTCCCCTAAGTAAAAGGTTAGAAGTGGATACACACAAAATATATTTTCATAACCTCATGCTGTTCACCCACTCTGTACTGTTTTTACACTATGTATTCTGTTTGTATCTTTTTAGCTTTCCCATATGGCAATCTAAATATTTGCCTTGACATATGTTAAATGCAGTGACCCCAATATTTGGTTCGTTTACTTGTTCACCTCCAAAGCATCAATTTTTACAACAACATTACATCGGAACATCCGCTTCCCCGAGTGGCCACGAGATCAGTTGAGTCATGCAACATATATAGCCAGCAGTAAATATCACAAGTAAATGAACAGATAATTCTATATGACAGTGCAGCGAAACCTTGCTGTAACAGGGTAATAAGTAATATAGCTAGCAGTAAATATCCCAAGTAACTGAGCAGATAATCCTATATAACAATGCAGTGTAGCCTTGCTGTAACATGGAATATAGCTAGCAGTAAATATCCCAAGTAACTGAGCAGATAATCCTATATAACAATGCAGTGTAGCCTTGCTGTAACATGGAATATAGCTGGCAGTAAATATCCCAAGTAACTGAGCAGATAATCCTATATAACAATGCAGTGTAGCCTTGCTGTAACAGGGTAATAGGGGTTTATGAAATCATATCGGATTAAAAGAGCACTGTTTGGGATTTTTAAAGTCTTTTTGTTTAGGGAGCTATGTGCTGTTGAAGTTGTACTAGCATTAGTGGATTTGAGATTGTTGGAATTTTTAGTAAAAAAAAAATATTTCATGCACAAATGAATCAAAACAATTTTAGGAATCATGCCACGACAGCACTATATCTGAATTTGCATTATTGTGGAGTTACACTGTATTTGCACTGATACTGACCTGTACTTGGAAAAAGTGCCCCATCTCTAACAATATCAGTTTGGCTTTGGCATGAGTATCTTCATCAGCAATACCAGCCTGTGAATGGTGACAAACAAGCATTCAAGACATCCAACTTTCATTTTTTTAAAAATAATGTCATCGACATGTAATAAATATAAGATGAAGTGGACAAGGAAAGGAGGGAACCTCATCAATCGTAGCTTACCGGCAGGTCACAGCCGACAGTAGCTGATCAAAGGCCCAAAAAAAAAAAATTTTGAAAGGTAAAGGTTATCAAGCGGTTGGGTCAGATATGCTGACTACCGTCCTGCATTGCCTAGGTCGGTGTAAATATTGGCCCAGGATAAGTTAAAAGATTTGAAGAAGAATTCAGTGATAGTTTTTATCATTGCAGAGGGCAGACAAAAATATCATAAATTGACACCACGAAAGAAATCATAAAATTGCAATAGAATAAGCTTTAACTGGTTAACTACCATGCGCTGCTGTGAGCGGCGCGGCGTTTCTTCCGTTATGGTCACGAGCCGCTGGTAGCGCCAATGGTCATATCATAATAAATCGAGGCAAATATTTATATTATTCCATTCCTGTTTTGCTTCGGGATTTTAATTTACCGTCTGGATGTTTATATTCAAACCGCATGCTATCTATAGAATGTTTTAAAAAAACAAGCTGTTAATTAATTTTGATTTATTTCCCAAGCTAGTTACAAAATGTTACCACATGTTTTCCGTGGCAACAAGTGACAGGGTTACTAAAGGCATAAAAGTGATTGGAAGTGGAAATATTATTCAATTTCTGTGTTCTTTGGTGCATTTTTCTTATTACTGGATACACTATTTGGAAACCACTAAATAAAAGGCTTTAAATTACTTGGAAATTTAAAATTTAGACGCAAGTTGGCACATTTACATTTTTTGGGGTGTTTTTCTGTGGTAAATACTAATTTAACAATTAATAATTTCCTGACCAAACTTAACTTTACAAATTTTTTAATTTTATCTTAAGGACAATTCAATTATCTACAAAATGGTTTATTAATCATTATATGTTTATAATTGAGAAAACTACAGCTGAATATGTACATACATCTAAAATGAGAAAATTTGAACTAGATTTAATTCGGGCACAGCAGGTTTTTTAATCTGATAGTTAATCAGTTAAATGTCATTTATAATTAAATATAAGATTTCCGCTAATTGTTTTAGCATCAAACAGTGCCTTTTTGGAACAACTCTGCCTACCATATAAAGGGCTATTGCAACTGGCAGATAGAAAGAGTAGTAAGCTGTCTTCCACTTGACAATGGCGCTGTATCTTTCCATGCTGAATTTAGAGAAGTCTGTTGTCACACTTTCAGGTGGTGCTGTCGTCATGTCAAGACATTGGCCAACTACAGTTTGAAATGTTGTCTGAAATATACACAAACAACATCTTCTGCATGTGTGCTGTTGAACACAACAACATATATCAAGCCAATAGAGTTTCAAAGTTGGCACCGTTTAGAAATGCTTATTTTGTCTCAGGTGATCCATTTCATCGTAGGAACTTGTCCATCTAGTCACAAAACAGAAAGATGTGGATAACGCATCTCTGTCTTGACCTGCATGGTCGAATATTGGTAGTTCAATTTCCAGGAAACGTGAAACCCCACCTAACCATCAGGATGAGACTCCATCTTTTCATACTTAAATTTTAACAAAATATTTTATTTTCTTTAAAATTCTTAATTATGCTCCACATAGACATGACAAACACATGTAACAGACATGATGCCCGAAATGGCTTAAGGCAAACATCAAACAATGCTGCTTACTTCCAAGAACAGTTCCATAAGCTGTACATAATAGGGCTTTTTAGAGGCATACTTCTTCAGCAACTGGTATATTGCACACTCCAGGAAATAGGAATCATTAATTGCTATCAACCCAACATTTTCCTGAAATTTAAAAAAAAAAAGAACATCATAGTACAGTGAACATTATTATTGTGCTTCACTATCATCTTAGAGGCAATTATAATTAAAAATGAAGTAAATAGAACATAATGCTTCATAAAATGAGCAAATTGAAAATAAAATAATCAAAGTAGAAGGTGACACATATAAAGAACGCTGTACAAGCCACTTGGGGGGGGGATATGTGCAAATGAATGGTGGTGTCCTGAAATGTTTGACAGGTTTTTCCTTAACTGACATGAAAATTACACAAGACCTTTCAATTCTAAGCTAAGCTGATAGATGTTTTTGCATTAAAAACCAGTTTAAAAAATTAGGTACCGGTAGATTAATGAGACACAAACATTTTGTAAATAAAACAATTTATGTTGAGCTTTAATTATGATTAGACAGGTTCAAACATTTTGGCAAATGCCTTCATCAGTACAACAAAAAACATTAAAATAATTATAAATTTAATTTATATAACATATCTTTATCCTACCTAAACCTTCAAATGAAAGAAAAGAATAATGGGTAAAAAGTCCCCAAAGAAATCAAAGATCAGAAGAACAGAAAGAAAGTAGGTGGAAGTGAAATACAAAAATCAAATAGGAAAAAGACACTGCAGCTATGTAAAATTGTGAATTTGGTTTATAAAGATTGAGACAATGTACAATGTAGGTGTTTAAACAACCAACACGGACAAAACTAATGTTGACTTAAACCACCCATAGTCAATAAAACAGTAAGACATCTCATATTTCACAAAGAGAAACTACAAATCTCCTTAATTATCTACAGCTAAAAATTACATTGAGCATAAATTTGTTAAAAATATGTTGCATTAATCCTTACTCGTTTGTACCAACATGGCTGACCCCTCCGGGATACAGAATGGTCCATTATGTCATCAGATACCAAAAAGAAACCTTGAAGCTGTTGAGGCAAAGATACGTGAAATAAGGAGTCAACAATCCACTGTGAACCTTAAGTGAATGTGTATCACATTTTCTGTCATGAGATGATGTATTGTCATAATTACACTTAATGAAGAAAAAAGATAACTACTCTTTATTTTAATTGTCACATTAGGATTTAACCTTTCTACCCATAGCCATGTGCACAAAGGAAACAAACTGAATTCTCTTTTATCTAAACAGTTAAATTTTTCAAATGTAACAGACACAATGCAAAGAAGGCAGACTGCAAAGAGTCAATGAATTACCAGCTCGACACACCAACCCATGACCCTTGCGATCTTTAAATCTTCATCTGACTGATCTGCACCTAGGTGACGAAACGAGGACACGACTGAAATACCCCGATTCTTTTTACCGTATGGAACATTGTATGTTAAAACCTGAAATTAAATTTAAACAGTCATTAACGTAAAAAAATGGAACTAAAAGAAGGAAAGTCATGTTTAAACAGTTAACCACATTTTCTTTAGCAGTGCTATTTTACTTACAATTTATTTACCCATATATAGATAAATCAAATGAAAACAAATGAAGTGAATATTAGAACAACCTCTTTGAACCATTCAAATGCATCTTTGGTCTCTGAGCTCTTGAGTCCAGTTCTTGTCAAATCTTCTACAAGATCAGTAAAGATTTCATCAAACTCTGCTAGTTCTGTTGAAGTTTTCACTGACGCACCATTGACAGCCATCTTTAAAGTACAAAATAACATTATGATTTAAAGATAAAGAAACAGACAAAATATAATTAAGATACATCTGAACCCATAAATTAGAGAACTGTACGACTGTACGTTTTCTTAGGATACTTTTGTGAGCAATAATGGTCGGAATGAGAATGCACAAAATTGCTGGCGTCTACATATTAAGACACCAAATGACTTGGTAGTAATACTTAATATCCTTACAGATATTCACTTATAATTATAATATATTTAGAATAAATTCACAAAAACTTGACTTCAATTAATATTTATTTCAGGATTTCTAATTCTTTCAGCATGTCAACAAAAGTGTATCTACTGTCCCATATTTTTATATTACATTAAAGTAAAGCGTCATGTTTCCGACACGCATCGTCGCTATTCGGACCCAGGTCCCATTAGAGTAAATGACTAAATGCTACTTGGATGTCATTTGTGGTAATTTATTTTAGTTAAACTTAAACTGAAGAATTAAGTTTACAACCATATGAATATGATTATGATGATGATATAGTATAGTCCATTTAATTATCTTTCATTCTATACCAAATTTTATCTTAAAAACCCAACAATAATATTTTAAACATTTTTAATAAACCCAACCTCTCACTTCTGATACCGGGTCCGAATAGCCGCAGCCATTAAGACTTAATAGTATTAGTCATTAGTATTAGAGTATTAGTATTACTGTTACTTAACTAAGTATTGATTTAATTGATTATAATCATCATTTGTCATTATTAGTAGGCCTACTTTTGTAATATTAGTTTAGACAGTAGACATTTAAGACATTGACATTAGTATTAGCCTAATTAAGTAACTAGTCGTTTAGTTCAGTCAGACTCAAATTATAAATTAGTCCTCATTAGTATTATTATAATTAGAAGACTGTCAGTGTCAGTAGTAGTATTCTAATATTACAATTATTACTAACAACTGACTAGTTTTAGTACTTAGCCGGTGAAACTCAACTCTAGTTAAAACAAAATTTCATATTTTAGGCAAATTTTTAGCAGTAACATTACTAATAGGTTACTGGGTAAACAGTTAGAACTAAATAACTAATATTTCTCATTTCTGTGTACTTAAAACTTCTTACCTTAATATTAATAAGTAAACGACGTACTAAACGATAGCAAGTTCTAATAACATGCAGAAAGTAGAAAGTCTGAAAATGTGCCCACAAGTCAGATGCTAAAGTTGATCCAATCAGATTGTTTCTAAGAGTTATTTTTAGCTTGGTCAAATATCAGGTTTCCTTTTATGAATAATTTTAAGTTCGGTGTTTTCATACTTCTAGATCAGCGGTTCTCAACCTGTGGGTCGCGACCCCTTTAGAGGTCACGCGACCTTTTTCCAGGGGTTGCCTTAGACCATCTGAAAACACATATCTTTACAGCTATGAAGTAGCAACGAAAATAATTGTGTGGCTGGGGGTCGCCACGACACGACAAACTGTAATAAAGGGCCGCGGCACTAGAAAGGTTGAGAACCACTGTTCTAGATGGAAAACAATAATTACGATAGAACAAAGAATATTGTAATAAAAATGGAGTGGTTAATTTTGGTGAACCTGTTGTTAAATTATTTATATTTTATTATATTTTGTCAGTTTCATTAATATTTTTAAATTATTTTACAGCATAATGACCGTAATCTAAAAAAAATATTGTTTGGCTCTTTTATTTTTATGTTCTTTCCGGTTCCGTATGAATGCATGAATTAAAGGGTCGTTCGCAAATTACGTCACACAAAAATTACCTTTTTATACCCCCCCCCCTTGTCACAAATTCTTTACCCTACCCCAAACTTAGGTTAACCATCGCCCTGTGCGAAGCACCCGTTCGGCACCCCTTTCTCTGTCCCTGCATGGCCCCGCTCTTTTTCCAAGTACGACGTAGGCTATGGAGCCTACCTGTTATGATGCCACACATGTAGCTAACTATACGCATTTTAACATGCACATTAATTTAGACTGTTTGGTTTTTCTACGGTTCTTTGTTCCATTTCCACAGCACCCCCCCCCCCAACCGTGTTAGTATCCAAATTAAGAATGCAACTTTCATTATATGAAAACTCATTGTATGAAAAGCGATTGTACGAAAAGTTAGAATACCGTTTTTCGGACGACCCCCGGACCCGAGGTTCACACTTCATTATAATAAACTAAGGGAATTTAAACATTTACTGGGCGCCCCAGGCACCACTATGGCCCCGGCGCCCTGTGCGAGGGCACAGGTTGCACACCCTAAAGTGCCTAAAGGCCGGTGTTTCTCCCCCCTACCACACCCTCCTCCCCCCCCCCCATTTTTTTTAGTGTCACGTCACACCTGAAAAAAAAATTAAAACATACATAAAATTTTCATAACGTAACCGAGATTTTATTTTATTATTTAACACGTTTCCATAATGGATTAAGATGAAGTATTATTAGAAAACTGTGACGCGAAACAACGAAGTCATCCCCGCGCCGAATGTAAAATGGCCACAACAGTTTTTGCGTCATTTTTCAATATGCGCAAAAGGTGTGCGTGACTGAGGTTCCCGTTACCTATAATATCTGATGCAAATTTGNAAAAAAATTAAAATTGTGAACGCACAAATTTTTGACACCCCCCCCCCCAAGCGTGACGTAATTTGTGAACGACCCCTAATTATAAAATTGATTTTCGACTTTTTAAAATCGTCTTTTATATAAATAATATACATAATATGTATATTATACATTAGTGTCATTAATATGGCAGCGAACCAGTTATTTTGTTTTGTTTTCTTTGTTTGGTTTTTTTCGTTTTTTTTTAAATTGGTGGAACCCCTTCACTGGACAGGGTATTTATAGATAGGCTCTATCTTAAAGTTATTTGTATTATCGGCATCTTCTTCATTGCTCATATCTACTTGAAATTTGCAATGGGTTCCACTAATGTCATATTTAAAAAACAGTTATAAAACAAGCTAATACTAATAAAATAAGAGACTCAAACAAACGGTAAATTTAAAAAAATAAAACAAAATTTAAAAAAGACATACAAGAACTAGGAAAATAAAATAGTTTAATTCAGTGAGATAACCACAATAGCTTCACTATTAATCAGCTCAAATAATTCGGACCATCCACTTCTTGGGCCTGGCGAAACAGCCGTTTGCGATGTTAATCGCCTCATCAGCGGTGGCCGCCCCATTCGACTGTCTGTCATTGTCATTCTTCATTCACAGACCCATGGATAGGCTCTATAATAAAAGAGTGATTCTTTACTTAATAAATAACCGACAATTATTTCAAGGGCGAATTGGTAAGAGACTGTGTAGTGTGGTTCAGTCCTCTTCTTCTATATTTTAAGGGGTCACGATCAATGCATTGACTATTCTGGCTCCTATGAATGTATTCACGATGTTTTTTGTGCTTGATATTGCAGAGGATATTTAACTGTTTGCAAAGGCTACAACATTCATTAAACATGTTAAAACATTTTTTTTTTTTGTACAATTCAATAATGAAAATGAAGACCTGAAAATGTTGACCCCATTTAAAAAATTTTTTTTTGCATACTTCCAGGAAGAAGAAGAAGAACATCAAATTGGATAAAAGGGATTAAAGTTTTGGGAAATAACTATTGCAAGAAAACTCGTAAATGATAAATTTGAATTATCTCTCCTAGAAGATATTTATGACATCGTTCTGAATTCTAAAGAGAAGCCAATATCCATTTATTTTTATTTTTCAAATTTTTTTATCTAGTTGTTTTTTGTTTTGTTTTTTTGCATAGCCTAATGTAATTTTTTTTTAGTTTTTAAAATATAAAAATATGAATAATTTGACACTCAAATTTTTTTATTTTTTAATTTTTTTTTTTTTTTTTGGTGGTCTTTTTGGGAGGGCTATGGACGAACAGCAGTTCTCTCACCTAAAAGAAGAACTACACCGAAGATCATGCGGAGTGGGAGAGAAGGGATTGCTCAAAAAAATATATATTTTTTTTAATAGAGGGGGTGGGCAATATATGTACATTAGTATCAATGTTTTTGGAGAAGAGATGCAAAAATTTGATACAAATATAATTTGATATAACCTAACGGCCTGAGTACAACATTTACATGAACGTTGCATGACAATTTTTTTTTTAAAAGTCCACCCAGACCGCAATCAAAGACACTCCCACACTCAGCAATTATCACATTACAAGAGTTGGTGACGATGCTGACAATGTCTGCGTTAATTTTGTTTTACATCGGCAGGCAGATGTTAGAAAACATAAAGCGTGTATTCCAGTGCTCAAACATAAAGCGTGTATTCCAGTGTTCAAACATAAAGCGTGTATTCCAGTGTTCAAACATAAATCGTGTATTCCAGTGTTCAAACATAAAGCGTGTATTCCAGTGTTCAAACATAAAGCGTGTATTCCAGTGTTCAAACATAAATCGTGTATTCCAGTGTTCATTGCTGATAACATACTGGTCTTTACATGTATTGAAATGGGTAATATTTGCGGATATTAAACTAATTTTGCGATTGATTACCAAATTCGTCAGGGCCCCCTAAAGTAGTGTAATATTTCAAAGGCATAAAAATTGTTCCGTTTTCCAAATTGTGTGTGGGAGGGGTTTGATATAAATACTATAATTTGATTCGGTTCGCCTTTTAACACTTTTCTATAAAAAAATAATAAAATAAAACAACTAAAAATATTAATAATAATAATAACTTTTTAAAGCTTCTTTTAATATGGAATAATCAGAATAAAATTTCGTCCATTAACTTTAACCTCAGGAAACAGGGTCATTTTGTTTGATAAGAAAATTTGTAAATTATTCTAATGAAAGGATTCTAACGTGGAAAAAAAAACGGATACATATATTTTTTATTTTCAAAATTGATGTGTTCAGCATATAGTTTTAGCAAATGAAACTCATGGGTGAATGATTCTAGTAAAAGAGTGCATGAAGTGATTGATAATTACTTGAATTTAATAACTATTTTTTTTTTTTTA